GGGAGAGACAGCACTGGGTACAAATTGTGACAGTGTGGGGTATTAAGTACAGAATAGAGGGTGGCTGTTTAAGCAGTTGTGAGAAGGTGTAGGAGGCAAGGATGTTCTCCTGGGTAGCTGACACAGCCTTACAGAAGGCGTGACACTCATGCAGAAAGGAGCTGAAATCTATGAGGTGTTGACTATGGGAGGGGCAATTTTATATACAATCTCATCTAATTCTCAGGGAAATCCAGCATGGCAGGTGGTGTACATATTTCACCAGTGTAGCTAAAGAGGCTCAGAGCAGCTAGGAGACTCACTGAAAGTCATGCAGGTGTTAGCCAGGGGCTTCAAAAATGATTGATTTTACTCTCAAACTTATATCCTACAAGACATCACACCACCACATTCACTGGATAGACCTGTGTTTGCAAAGGCAATGAGAAGTGACTTTTATGCTGAGGACCAGCTAGAAGGTGGTGCTTTCCATATTATGCCCAGTGCATGAGAGAGACTGAAGGCTGTGCATGTAAGATGTGGCAGAGATTGTAGGTGAGCAGGAGGTGAACTGGAAGCAACTTTCTGGGTTTTTTTCTTTCAGTATTTCAATGTTATAAGAACGCTATTCCATTGCCCTTGGCTTTCATTACTTTGGATGGGAAATCATTGGTCACACCTATCAATCCTGCCCAGAATGTGATATTCTTTTGCCTTGGCTGCCTTGAAGACTTTATTTTAATCATGGGCTTTCAGTAGCTATGGTGGGAAGCCTCTGAGATGGTTCCCCACTTCCTGGCAATTCTGGCCTTGTGTGGTCCTCTCCCCTTGAACATGGGCCAGACCTATTGGCTTGCTTCCAAGGACTAGAAGACACCAAAAGTGATGGTATGTCACTTCCCACATTGGTATTCAAGAGGACTGCTCCCTTCCTGGGTGCCTTCTCTCCCTCTTCCTCTCTCTGGTGGTCCTGGGGTTTGAACTCATGGTCTCACTCTCGCTAGGCAGGCACTCTACCATTTGAGCCACTCCACCAGCCCTTGGGTGCTTTCTCTTGCCATTTCACTCATCTGTTCTGGAGTCTTCAGCTATCTCTTGCTAAGTTACCCTACACCAAGGAGGCCAGCATTTGTTGAAGAACACAAGAACACAACCTGGGAGCAGACATGGCAGTGAGCTTGGATAGGCATCCCCCCCTTCACCTGATACACAGCCAGCCCTGAATTATCAAAGCTTTGTGAAACAATTTGAGCCACCAACTCCCAGCTACAGCAGGCTGGATTCCTAGGCACAGAAGCTACCAATAGTAAACGTTAGTTGTTTTAAGTCTGTATGGCTTTTTTGGGGGGGATGTGTAATTTATAATGCAGCAATATAACTAATTCAGCAGGCAGTGAGCTCTCAGTGAATTGGTGAACTGACTAATTTCCTAAATGATCCTAGGATTTCTTATGCATGCCAGATGCCATAGTTGACTCTAGGCACCAGACTCTAGGGGGACTGCACCGTCAGTATCATGGAAGGTGAAGCTTGCTTTGGCAGATAAACAGCTCATAACTAGATTTCTTCTCAAGAAACCTGTACTGGAAAAGTCTGGGAGGAGGTAGGTGTCAGGTCGCTAACTACCGACCAGCCCTTCACATATCAGACTTGAGTTTCTACAAAGAGGGCTATTCCAATTCTCACTCAGTAATGCCCCATACTGTGGAAGCTCTATTTATGTCTGAAAGGCTGTGGTGGGAAAGAGGGATCTGACTTATTTTCTGAGGTCCACTTTCATGAGGGGGAAATCTTCCTACTAATCTGAGCTATCATATTGGTTTACCAGTCAGGTAGTGAACTCTTGTTCACAGATATAGGTACAGGCTGGACAATGGGTCAGGGCTATGGTAGGAGGTCTCCTAGCACACTTTGAAGGGTCAGCTGAGTTTATTAGCTTACTAATTTTCTAACTAACAAGCATTTTCTTTTTGAGACAGGGATTCGTGATATAGCCCAGGCTGGCCTCAAACTAGATTCTTCAGTGCCAGCCTCCCAAGTACTGGGATTATAGGCATGTACTATCATGCCCAGCCTAATAGGGAATTCCAGTCTAGGTGATTGCCGTCTTGTTTCAGTGCTCAAAATAGTACAAAGGTGTGATGATTTGATTATAAGGTGTCCCCTACAGGCTTCTGTGTTGGAGGCTTGGTCCCCAACTGGTGATGGTATTTTAGGAACTGGACGAACACTGGCCTGACTGGAGCAAGTCACTGCAGGTGGGCCTTTGAAGGATATCTTCTCCCTAGCTCTTTCTTGTTTCTCTCTGCCATGAGGTGAACAGCTTTCTGCCATCATGATCTGCTGCCTCACTATAGGCCCACAAACATGGAACCAAGTGATGCCAGACTGGAACCTCTGAAAATATGAGCCAAGATAAATCTTTCCTCCTTTATATTGTTTTTCTTGGATATCTTGTCACAGAGATGAAAAGTCTGACTAATACAAAGGATCAGATTTTCTTGCCTTTTCCTACTGGTTGCAAGGTGGCCACTGCAGCTCCAGATATCACAAGTGTGATCAAGGTAATGATCTCTAATGCTGTCTGTCCTTTTTCCAAGAGAGCAAATCTTCCCCAGAACCCAGTGCTATGGCCTAAAATCTTTCATCACTGGCATTTTGGGGTTGGGGAGGAAGGGAGAAGTCTTATTTCTAGCAGTTGTTGTGGTATAAATTCTCCTACTGTATCTGACTTTGAGCTGCCAAGTCAACATTATAGAGTTGAGAAGAGATGCCAGTCACTTCATTATATAGGATTTCTCCCTAGCAGATTCAGCAGATGTAAAGTCCTCAGAGCCATAGATAATAGCAAACTGTGACAAAATCATTAGCGAATAATGGTTTTTGACTATTATCTTAGTTTTGGTATATTTTTTATTTTATTTATTTATTTTCTTGGCAGTCTTGGTGTTGCCGGATATTTAAGCAGGGAAACAGAACACCAAGGCTTTTCAGGAAGCAGTGTTTATTAGCATGCCAGCAGTGGTTCAATGGATTCCCATCCAAAGGCTGAGCCCCAAGAACAAAGGGGCAGGTTACAGAAGCACATTTAACCCATATATGGTTGTATGCAACTCTACTGGCTACTTCATCCCCTTCCCCCAGTGCTACATGACCTTCTTCCTGTTTAGATTCTTTAATTTTTATCTCCCTGCTATGCCATCCCCTCCCCACTTCTACATTATCAGAACACAGATTTGCTTGCTTCTTTTCTGGCCCTCCTCTCTGCTATACTGGGGTTTGAACTCAGGGTTTCACACTTGAGTCACATCCCCAGCCCTTTTTGCTTTAGTTATTTTTCATGTAGGGTTTTGAGTTTTTTGTGGTATTTTGGGCATTTGGAGCCCAGTCATGAGCCAGCTAGTTCCTTTTCTATTCTCACAGGGTCTTCATGTTAGTAGCGAGAGTGAGTTTTTAAGCAACTACGGATAGTTGTGAGGAATGCCAGCAAGAAGTACCAGATGCTGTAAATGTGTGTCACGGAGTGGGGATTCAGTATTTATTAGCTTGTTTCATAACCAGTACCTATGAACTTAGAGACTTAAAGCAGCACACATGTCCCTCAGCTCCGTTTCCCTGCATTAGGACCTCAGCACATTTTTGCTGGATCCTCTGCTTGGAGTGTCAACCAGTATCACTCAATGTATTGGGCTGGGCTGCATCTCCCTCTGAGGTTCAACTAGGGAAGAATCAGGTCCCCAACTCATTCAGGTTGTTGGCGGAACTCCTTTCCTTGGGCCTTTGTGATGGAGGATCCACCACTGTGCTGGCTTCCAGCTGGAGGGGACCTCAGTGCCCTGTGCCCATTCATTCCCAGGTGGGCTCTCCAAAGGCCCTCTCAGGTCACAGGGTATCCCTGCAGAGCCTGCAGGTGGAAGCTCTCTCTTCAGTGTGCTCTGGCAGAGTGGTATTTAATATATTGTGACCCTGAACATGACATGGATGGAGAGGCTGTTTACTAAGGAGGGGAAGAATGTGAAGAAGAAGGTTGGGGGTGTAGTTGAGATGGTTCCTGGGATCCCAGCTGGGGTCTGGTGGAGGTTAGGGCTGGATTTGGTGGATGGTGTTTGAAGCCCAAGAGAATGGGAGAGTTCCTTGTGAGAGTGTCCAGGCAAACAGAAGTGTGACTGGCACCAGCCACAGGTCACCCTACCCTGGGACAGGGAACAGAGGAGGAGGTGGATCCTGGAGGTCACCAGGAGGCAGTTAGTGAGGGTAGAGGAAAACCCACAGCGTGCGGGCACCTTCTAGGAATCTCAGAAAAGGTGAGGACAAAGTCTTAAAGATGTTTGGTACTTGGATAAATCAGGGTGGCAGGTGGAAAGAGGAGGGCCAGCCAGGTGGGGAATTGCAGAACCAAAGCTCGGAGGCAGGCAAGGGAAATGACTAGCCCTGAACCCCTGACCCCTTTATCAGGCAATGTGAGGGAGAGAAATGGTACTGCTCTGCCAAGCTCAAGAAAGACCCAAATTCACTTTCACTCCACTCCTAACAAAAGCGACAAGCTTCGAAATTTTTGCTGAATGATTAGAAGATGGCCGAGGGAATAGGACTATGTGATTTCGGGCAGCAAGTGCTCTCGTTCCTTGGGCCTCAGTTTCCCTTTCTGTAAAGCCGGCCTGTCAACTCTCAGCCCGACAAACCTGAGTTTGGGAATGAGCACTGGCCGCTGAGCCGAGTCCCAGTGGGTATTGAACTGGACGTTCCAGGACTCCGGAATTGGGCCACGACAAGTCCAACCTCAGGGCTGGATCTCGGTCCCTTCTCGGCTCCAGCCCCAGTGCGGCCCCGCCCAGGCTCCCTTTGTTTCCCTGGCCCCGCCCCCTCCGCGAAACTCTTTTCCCATTGGTCGGAGGCGGGCCCTAGCGCGAGGTCGGGGGCGGGGTGAAGGCGGCGGGCGGAGCGGAGCGCGCGTGCGCAGTGTCCGCCGGCCGCAGCCCAGAGCCGGCGCATCTCCTCGCGGAGCCGGGCAGAGGGGACGAGCTGAGGCGGCGAAGGGCCCCGCCCCGGGGCTCCATTGTTGAGGCGGCCGCAGCTGTGCCGGCTGCGGGCAGTGCTGCTCTCCACCGGCGTCGCGGGCAGGCGGTCTGAGGTGAGGCTGCGAGCGGCCTGGCCGGGCGGGGGTCTCGGGACAGGGCGGGGGATGCTGGGCCGGGGTCCCCAGGGCGGGCGGTGTCTTCGGACCTGGCTGGTTTTCTCGGGCCCCGACGAGGGTCCGAGGGCTGGGCTGGGCTCTCCGGACCGGGCAGGGGACCCGAGTGGGGTCTCCGGGTCGCGCTGGGTTTCCCGGTGGCCTGGCCGGGGTCCCGGGCTGGGCGTCCGGCCGTGGCGGGTCCGCGCGGGCTCCGCGGGTCGCTGCCTGGGGGCGGCCACCGCCCTGAGCGCCGGCGGGACCGGGACGGGGACGCGGTGGCACGGAGGGCCGTCGCAAGTAAGTGCGCGCGAGCCTTGTCCCGCCGTGGGGTGAAACCTGGAAGGTCCCCGTCATCCTGCTGGTGGCGGCTCGGCCTCGGTCCTCCCTTCCCCTTGTGTCACTGGTTCGCTGTCACGGAGGGTGTCACATGGACCCGCGTGTGGGGGGCTCCTTTCCGGCCTCCTTGGTGTGGCACCGAAGGTAACTGCGTGGACATTCGCGCGTGGGGGTCCCGGTTACACTGCAAGCGGAAGGGTCTGTCTCCGTGTCTTCTCTCCCCCCATTAGTGTGACTGGTATACCGTGTGCCATTGAGGGTGACAGCGTGGACTTGCGCGCGTGGGGTCCTGGTCATCCTGCGAGTGGGTGCTCTACCTTGTCCCCGTGGTTTGTCGAGATGTGACCCCGTTTTGCAGCTAGTCGTGTGCGTGTGTCTTCGGGTACCTTTGCGCCTGTCTGCGCCAATCCGTGCGTGCCCGGCTGTGCGCCCCAGGCGCAATTGACTTGGGCAGGACTGTCACCCGCTCATTGATTTATTGTCTTCCTTGCCAAGTGAGCAGAAGCCGGGAGCTGCGCGGGCTCCGGGGCCGACACTGGGCGGCCTGGCTCCCGTCCCTGTCCCTTACCCAGCTGGATCCCTGGGGATCGTGGGGCTGTCACTGGCTGGAGACCGCGCGTCGGGCATTTCGTGCTCCAGGGGCCCAGGAGCTGGCTCTGATTGGAGGAAGCAGAGCTCCTTTGCCATATGCTTCTTGATTTCTTCGGTTAGGATTGGGAAGAAAAAAAAAAAAAACAAATCTGGAAAGTCACATTTAACTTTGTAGTTCTCAGCGTCTGGTGAGTGGAGGAAACTCTCCCAAGAATTTGGCGGGCTGGAAAATGCGTTTAAATGAGGAGACTCCACACCCAGGGAATGAGGCCAAGGCAGTTACGGTTGGAGGTCAAATTTATGAAGGCAGCGCTAGGGTGAGGTCGTGGGAGCGAGGGATCTCTGATCCCAGCTGGAGGGGAAGCCCTGAGGCTGTCCAGCAGGCTTGGTCTTTCTTAGCCACCAACTGAAGTGAAGGTATTCAGCAAACTTATTAAAAACACCTATACCTCAGGCTCATTCGTGTCCCTGGGAGATTCGGTCAGACAAGATCGTTTTTTCCCTTTTAAGAGCATTATTGTCCAAGAGAAAAAAACAGCAGGAAGGAGGAACTCTAATATCCAGCCTGAAATTTTTTCTAAATAAGAGATGGTGTCTAAATAATGGATACAAGTCAAAACTATACTCATAACCACAGTTGGACCGTATCACTTTGCTTACAGACTTCACTTTTGCCTGTGCCTTCAGGGTTCCGCTCTGCTCCACTTACCCATTCCTCACTTAGTGACACCCTTTCTCTGAAGCCTTCCCTGCCTTTAGTTCCGTCCTACAGCCACAGCTACACGGAGGGTTTGGGCTGTTTAACTGTAGCACAGCTTGAAAAGTGCTCTCTCTGCTGGAGGCACAGTTTGTACCTGGAGCAGGAAGAGGTGTGGCCAACTTGAGAGGTTCTGGTTTATACCAGGATCCAAGTATTTCATGTTATTTTAGGGTTTTTAGATTTTTTTTTTTTTGCTATTGCTTTCTAATGTTTGTTACATAGTACAGAGAACTTTGATTAGAATTTAAATCTTATTTTGACTCTGGAATTAATATAGTGTTTGTTGCTGGATGGCAGCCTCCTCTGGGCTTCCTCACCTTTGAGGATCTTAAATGAGATTACTTCTGTTTTTTTTTTAATCATATGTGCATACAATGCTTGGGTCATTTCTCCCCCCTCCCCCTACCCATGAGATTATTTCTTAAGAGCCTTTTTCAGTCCTAAATCTTTTAACTCTTTCAACCAATATGTAATTCTCTTAATGGTGATGGTATAAACAAGGGAGACACAGGAAAATGTGTTCTAAGGAGAAAGGTTCCTTCCCTTCCCTTTAGTTTCTTTTTAAGAAGTTTGGTTGCATGGGTCTACTGTTTGTCAGTGTTCAGAACAAACATTTAGGATGGAACCTTAAGTCATTTTTAGTGTTGTTGTGTGCATTTTTCACAATTGTGTTTTTTTTGCAACATCTTCGTTATATCAACTTGGTCTGGCTTCTTTCTTTAATGAAGTCCTTGGCTACAGATCTTTTTCAGAAGCATTTTGTCCATCTTGTAAATGTCATGTGAAGGCTTCCAACTGTGGGCTTCTCTGTGTCCCAGTCTATAACAGATTTTATTTTGGAGAGTCTGAAATAAATAGAATTTTCAGAGTGCCTTGGGTAGAGCGTACTTGGCTATGTACAGCTGTTTAAAGTATAGTTTAAAATTACTACTTGCAAAAAGTTACATCATCATAAGTGATCCTTCTTCAAGCTCCAGTTCTAAGGGAGACAGTAACTAATCTTTAAATTGTTAAGCCCCTTTTCAATTTGTCTCTTTGGTAAGGTGGGAATTTGGCGTGCTTGCGTTTCTTCTGGCCACACGTCTCAGTCTGTAGAAAGGATGCGCAATTTCCTCTGCTATTCTGATGATTACAGGGATTAAAAATAGATGATAGCTATTTGGTTGAGTAGTAGATGCTACCGAATTATAGCTTTTACTTAACTCAATAGGATTTTTGCCTTTTTCGATTTGCATTCTTTTCTTAATTATAAAAACAGCTCTATTATGTTTGCCATGTGGTTTATTTTGTTAGGCAGTCTTATTTTAGGAGGGGTCTTTAGAATGCCACTGGATTTTCTTTATAGTTTTCTTATATTTTATTAAGGTTTAAACTGAAACTTAGCCAGCTAGCTCTTGTTCTGCACCAGGAGTATTTTTCGTTGGCAGTGGGGTTGGGTAAATGAAAAGGGGTCCTTCATGGAAGGGCATGTTTTGGGATGGAGGAGGTAGATTTTGACTCTACATTTGTTTCAGCATTGCCCTCTTTGCCCTTGCCTGGGGCCCAGCAGACCAAGCAGGTCCCCTACCATTGTGGAACCCCTCCGTTAGAAACTGTCAGTGAGATTTGTGTGATACCTGGAACATTTTAAACAGTGACCCCACTGCCTGGATTGTGATGGTTTTATAAGTTGTCTTGTCTCCTGTAGGTATTTTCACTTAGAAACAGAAGTTCAGAGGTAATTTCTTAGGCCGTACATCTAAGGTGTTGGTTACCCTCAGCCTCTCCTTTAGAGTGGTTTTTGTTGTCTTTTCCATTTGAAGGTTCTGACTGTCTGTTATGCAGGCTGCCTCAGAACCTTTTTGCATGCTGACCGGATGTAGATATGAACAGGACATTAAGGATAACTTAAGTTCTTTCGGGCAGCGGACTTGAATTAGAACTTGGCTCTGTTAAGCCTTTTGTTAAGTTCAGGTGCCTCTCTGAAGTTCTGTTATCTCGTTTGTAAAAGGGGGCTAGTTGTCAGTAATATCTTTTCTATCTACCTCAAGAGATTGTTTTGAGGATCAAGTGAAATTATAAAAAATGGAATTTTTTAAAAATTTATTTTGAACGAGGATACATTAATAATATGAGGGGATTTCAGTGTGTGTGTGTGTGTGTGTTGTTGCAGTTTGGGGGATTTAATTCAGGGCCTCAAGCTTACTAGGCAAACACTCTACCATTTGAGCCATGCCCTTAGTCCAGTTATTTAAGTGTACACGTTGTATTGTCAAAAATGAAAAAAAAAGCTTCATTAAAAATTTAATGCATCTGGGGCTGGGCATAGCTCAAGTGGTAGAGGGCTCTGCCTGCATGCACAAGGTTGGGCCTAATGTCCAGTACCACAGACAAGCAAAGAATTTAATGTGTCTGCCTTTATTCTTTAAAACTCCAAATGCTTTATGTACTCAATATCCGTAACATGTAAGGCAACTTTATTTAGTATTGTTTTCCATTTTTATTTGGCCAATATATTGTTTGGTGTACATTTTGGGGAATCATCAGATTCATTTTCCACTTACTATTAATCTTTTACAAGTGAAATTATTGAATGTGCATGATTGAAATTTTAGCAATCCCTTCAACTGGATGCATCCATGAACCTTCATTTAACTAATACTTTTTTCCATGCATTTTGGTTCTTAAGTAACTTATTTGTTTTGAAGTTGGAGAAGGCAAAGATCAGTCAGAGGTCAAGGTCAGAAAAGCATTTGCCTGTTGACATGGATGGTACTAGTGAGCAGTGAGCCTCAGGGTGAGGCTGCCTCCAGCCCCAGGGAGGTTTCCTTGAACCACTTAGGAAGCTATGCAGTGTGTCCCTCACTGCTAGTCAGTGTCCACCTTTTTGGTCCCCTCTCCCTTTTCTGCTTCTTCACCAACTTCTACTGAGGCCTCTGATTACTCCCTTTTCCTTCCCCCTGTAGTGGCAGCAAGAGGGACACAAAGGCTAACAAACCCAGCACTGGGCCGCTTTACATTTTATATGCAGATAAGAAGCTTTACCATCCTTTCTAGTGTCAACAAACACTACACAGATTTCCTGTCATGAGCTAAGCACTGTGCTGGGACTCATCCCGGAAGGGCTGAGGTTTCGTTTAGAAGCAGACCTGGACCTATCTCAGTGCAGCTTCCAAAGTGCCAGAAGAGGTTCCTTCAGGTAGGTGTTTGTGGCAGGGCTGGTGCACATGGTCCTCAGTTAGTCTCCTGTGTGGTACGCCTAGTTTATCATAAGTAGGGATTGCTAGTTTTA